GGGGGGACAGAGAGGGACGGAGGAATGGGTAGAGGGAGGGTGATTGGAGGGATCACTTCCATGGTTTATCTTACAAGGGTATACAAGTGAATCTTTCTAAGAGTAGAATATGAACGTCTTAACACAATAACTAAGAAAATGACATGAAGGCTATGTTAACTAGTTTGATGAAAATATTTCAAATTGTATATGAAAACACCACTCTGTACCCTAGAATTGCATTAATGTACATAGTTATCATTTAATAAAAAAAAATTTTCAGTAAGTCATTTAGTAATGACCTGTTTTGAGGGAGAATATAAGATTAACCAGTTTACAGAGAGTGTCCATGACAGTCATCTCATTTTATCTTTGTAATAACTCAACAGCTGCCAGGCCACTCAACTTTGCTTTGCAGATAATAGACCTGAGGACCAGGGGTTAACTGGTTAACTGGTTTGCTCAAGGTCACCTGGCTACTACTGGTGGCAGAGACCAGATCTGGCTCCAACAGCCTTGGAGAATTTGCTAGACAGTGTAGACTTTGTACTAGTCACGCCTCAGTCAAGTTTCTCCTTGTTCCCAAGGTGGTATCTCTCATATTTTGGCACGTTTGTTTTCCTTTAGATGCTATTGTGGCTGAAGGGTGGATTAACTAGAAAACCATCCACTTACTGTTTCATCACTACTTTTTTGTTTTTGTTTGTTTTTGAGAGAGCCTCACTTTGTCACCCTTGGTAGAGTGCTGTGGCCTCATAACTCACAGCAACCTCAAACTTTTGGGCTTAAGTGATCCTCTTGCCTCAGCCTCCTAAGTAGCTGGCTCAGGCTGGTCTTGAACCTGTGAGCTCAGGCAATCTACCCGCCTCTGCCTCCCAGAGTGCTAGGATTATAGGGGTGAGCCACTGCCCCTGGCCTCCGCTACTTTTTTTTTTTTAACTGATATCTTTTATTCTCTTTACAGCTCTGAAGAGGCTGAGGGACTCAGCCAATGCCAATGATGTGGAAACAGGTGAGTGTACACAGTGGGTCCAGCTCCAAGGACCCATGGGCTGCTTGGAGAAGGAAAAAGCCAACCAGAGTGAGACCTTGCCTCTAAAAATAGCCAGGCATTGTGGTAGGTGCCTGTAGCAGACATGAGAGGAGGACACTGTCTGGTTTTTTATTGTTGCTTTCCGATATTCACTAGCTGACAGGGCAGTAGTAGCATCAAAGATGCAAGGTCAGTTTATAACAGTGGTCCCCAACTGTTTTGGCACCAGGGACTGGTTTAATGAAAGACAGTTTTTCCATGTATAGGAGGGGGAATGTTGAAGGGAAATGGGACGAGAGTGATGTGATGGTGAATACATGAAGCTTTGCTGGCTTACCTGCTGCTCACCTTCTGTGTCACCTGGTTCCTGACAGACTGGAACCTTTTGGGGCAGCAGGGACCAGTTTTATGGAAGACATTTTTCCTGGGTCTCGGTGGGGGATAGGAGGCAGAACAATGGTGATGATGTTGTATGGCCTGGATTCTGACATAGATGGATACTTGTCTGTAGCCCAAGGGTTGGAGACTGCAGATTTTTAGGACAAAATGTTTAATTTTATCCACTGACTTGATTCTTTTTGTTAGTCAAAGAAAAGTGTTGCATTCGTTTTATATGGCTGTTTTAACAGATTACCCGAACTTGCTGGCCTAAACACAAATTTATTGTCATGCAGTTCTATACATCAGAAGTCCAACATAGGTCTCACCAGGCTAAAATGCAACTGTCATCAGGGCTGCAATTCTGTTTTTCTGAGACAGTCTTGCTTTGTTGCCTGGCCTAGAGAGCCATGGCTTCATCATAACTCACAGCAACCTTAAACTCCTGGCTCAAGTCATCCTCCTACCTCAGCCCCTCAAGTATATGGGACTACTATAGGCTTGGGCCAACATGCCCGCCTTTTTTATTTTATTTTTATTATTATTTTTTTTTTGTAGAGACAGAGTCTTACTTTGTCACCCTTGGTAGAGTGCTATGGTGTCACAGCAACCTGCAACTCCTGGTCTATAGTCCCAGCTACTTGGGAGGCTGAAGCAAGAGAATTGTGTGAGCCCAAGAGTTTGAGGTTGCTGTGAGCTATGATGCCGCGGCACTTTACCAGGGGCGACAAAGTGAAACTCTGTCTCCAAAAAATAATAAATAAATAAATAAAGGACTTGGCTGGGCACGGTGGGTCACGTCTGTAATCCTAGCAATCTGGGAGGCTGAGGCAGGTGGATTGCTTGAGTTATGAGTTTGACAAGCCTGAGCAAGGGCAAGACCCCATCTCTGCTAAAAATAGAAAAACTGAGGCAAAAGGATCGCTTGAGCCTGAGTTGGTGGTTGCTGTGAGCTATGACGCCACAGCACTCTACCGAGGGCAACAACTTGAGACTCTGTCTCACAAAAAAAATAAAGGACTCATATAATTAGATTGGGCCTGGATAATCCATGATAATCTCCACATCTCAAGTCCTTAACCTAGGTCAAATCTGTAAAATCCTTTTTGCCATTTAAAGTCTGACCAGATGTAGTGGCTCATGCCCATAATCACAGCACTTTGGGATGCGATGGCAGAAGGATTGCTCAAGGCCAGGAACTTTTTTTTTT